CCTCCTCCTTTTCCTTTTCCTTCTCCTCCTCCTCATCATCTTTCACGTCCGCCTCCTCCTCCTCCTCCTCTTCCTCCTCCTCCTCTCCCTCCGCCTCTTCCTCCTCCTCTTCCTCCTCGTTCTCCTCCTCCTACTCTTCCTCCTATTACTCCTCCTTCTCTCCTCCTTCTCTCCTCCTCCTCATTCCTCCTCCTCCTCCTCCCTCCTCCTCCTCCTCCTCCTCCTCCTCCTCCTCCCCCCCAAAAAAAACAACTGATGTTGCTTATCCTCCACTCTTCTCCCTCGTCCTGTTTGACCTGCTTCTCTTTATCCTGCTTCTCTGCTTCCCTCCTCCTCCTCCTCCGTCTCCTCCTCCTCCTCCTCCTCCTCCTCCAACTCCTCCTCCTCCTCCCCTCCCCCTCCCCCCCTCCCCCCCCCCTTCCTCTCCCCCTCATCCTCCTCCTCCTCCTCCTCCTCCTCCTCCTCATCATCATCATCATCATCATCATCATCATCATGATCATGATCATCATCATCATCATCATCATCATCATCATCATCAGCATCATCATCATCAGCATCATCATCATCACCATCATCATCCTCCTGCTCCTCTTCCACATCATCATCATCATCATCATCATCATCATCATCACCATCATCATCATCATCACCATCATCATCAGCATCATCATCAGCAGCAACATCATCATCATCTTCATCATCATCATCATCATCTTTCACTTCCGCCTCCTCCTCCTCGTCCTCCGCTTCCTCCTCCTCCTCTCCCTCCTACTCCTCATCCTCCTCCTCGTTCTCCTCCCCCTCCGCTGCCTCCTCTTCTTCTTCCTCTTCTTTTTCCTCCTCCTCCTCCTCCTCCCCACACCTTCATCCTCTTCCTCCTCCTCCTCCTCCTCCTCCTCCTCCTCCTCCTCCTCCACCTCCTCCTCCTCATCCTTTTCCTTTTCCTTCTCCTCCTCCCCCTCCGCCTCCTCCTCTCCCCTCCTCCTCCTATTCCTCCGCCTCCTCCTCCTTCTCCTGGTCCTCGGTGCTCCTGCTCCTCCTCATCGTCGCATTCCCCGCTTCTCTTCCCACCGCTGCTGCTGCTGCTGCTGCTGCTGCTGCTGCTGCTGCTGCTGCTGCTGCTAGTTCTCCTCTTCATCCCTCGTGTTCCATCCCCTGCCGAGCTCCAGTAACTACTAATCCAGGGTTGAACGCAGCGGTCGCGCAGGCCTCGCGCGGAATTCTCTAACAGGCGCACAACCGCCTGCCGGCGCCTTAAAAAGAGCCAGCGCCGCCCAAACCGAGGCAGCAAGGGAGCACAGCGAGTCCTCAGTCTTTTGGGGTGGACTGGCCTTGCAGGTTCGTGCCGCGACAACGTCGGCGTTTGCATCCGGCACCGCATGGATCGCTCAGCCTTGGAGCGGTCAGCGCTTCCCGACCGCGCAGGCCGGTCCACATCGGCCCGCTCTCGGCCAATGGCGGCGCTCAACCTCGGACGCCTGCGCTGTGGCTGCCCCCGCGTCGACACGACACGGACTTGCCGTATCCACCCAGCCTTCTGTCGGGCATGTCCTCTTACAGGCGGGCTTTGAAGGAAAAATGGAAAATATTCAAACAATACACCAATATAGTCAAAAAGAATCCAAAGAACCGTCCCCAGACTACATTTTTTTACCTATTTTTGAAAACATCCCTCCTGTAGCGGGACAGGGCCGACTGAAACCCAGCCCTCGACCTCCACCCTCCGAGACTCTCGCGGTGCAGGCCAGGCGCCGCGGCCGTGGCCGCGGCGGCCGGAGCCGTCGAGGCGGCTCCGCTGCGCGGAGCGCTTCGCGCAGTGGTGCGCCCGTCGAGGGAGCGGATCCGCCACCGCCGTGGGACCCCTTGCGGCGGGGCGGCGCCAGCCGGGGCGGGGACGCGACGAAGGGCCCGTGCGGCGGGCGGCCGTCGCACAGCGCCGGCGGCAGGAACGCCCGGACGGACCGCTGCATGCGCGCGGCCCGCGCCTTGGACGCCTGCGGGGCGGGGGGCGGGGAGGGGGGGCTTACAGCAGGAACGTACGGCAAGAGATCGTGCTGCAAGAAGCCTTGAGGCACACTCTCCGACGAACTCTGAGGGTCCTGCTCCAGAACACATGTCTATAGCAAATGACATTCCCAGGGGCACGGCTGCTAAAAATGGGCCCGGAAACGCGCCCAAAACAGACCGGCTTTGGATTTTGCAGAACGATGCAAGAACTCAACCACTCCTGGAAAAGAGTCGGACAATTACATACGGCACCCCCCTTCCAAAATACGTGTCGAAATTTACCAAACATGGAAGGTTTCGTCGGCTTGGCTGGAGACATCCCGCGAAAAATGACCCACGGCACCCCTGCCCCAAAATGGTTCCTTTTGGCGGCGCAGTTTCTGTAGCCGCGCCCCCAAGAATATAGTTCGTGAGTAGGGGAACGAAGTCTGACAGAAAGATAAAAACTCGGAGGTCCGCGCGGATTTCTCGGATCCGAGCTGGACCCCCTGGCGGCGCCTCCGGCGCCGCCCCTGGCGCGCTCCGCGCGCCAGGGAGAGGGGTCCAGCGCGGATCCGAGAAATCCGCGCGGGCCTCGGAGTTTGTAATGCTTATGCCATTCTTCGTCCCCCCCCGGTGATCGTGGATGGACAGACCCCCCTTTAGTAAAACGTGGTTTAGTGAAAACGACCTGAGGCCCAAACCTGGCGGGCGCAAGCCTGGAAAATAACGGCCACGGCGCCCTCTCGAGAACCGAAAACGGACAATTCACTAATCGACGTGTCACTGTTGGGGGTTCTGTCCACCCCCGACGGTGCGCGTCCCGAACACCTGGGACACGCGGTGTCCGGCACTCGCCCGGGACACGTGCGAGCCCTGGGCCTCCTGCTGGGAGGCCCTCGCCGCCGCGGCTGGGCCCGCCTCGGGGAACCCCGTCGTGGAGCGCAGCCGGGGCTGAGCCTAAACGGTGTTTTTCGTTTTCGTTTTGTCTTCGTTGTCCCTCGTCTTGTCTTCATTCCGCCTTTGCCGCAGAACGAAAGCGAGACGAAAACGGCCCACGAGATCGCCAGAACACCGTTTAGGTCCAGCCCTGGGTTCTACCTCGAGGCTGGAAGCGAAAACCTCCAGGCGCCGCGAAGAAACACACCACGGGCGCCATTTCGCGGCGTTGGCCTAATTGCCAGCGGGCCGTCTCCTCTGGGCCCAGGCGACCATCCAGAAGCAGCCCGCGGCGAGAAGCAGACCCAGGTGATCCGGAGTGGGAGCACCCTGCAGGGCCCACGCCGTGAACGAAACACCATGACAGCGCCACAGGCCTGAGGATGCGGACGGAGAAGGTGGAAGAGGCGGAGCACGGCGCCGGCGCTGCGACCAGCCCTGCGGCATCCTGACGCAGGCTCGCCGGCGGCGGCGACGGCGGCAAGGCGACCGACAGCGACGGCGGCGACGCGGACGACGGCGACGGCGAGCCGGAGGACGACGGCGACGGCCACGGCGAGGAGAACGAGAGCGACGACGGCGACGAGGACGAGAGCGAAGACGGCGCGGGCGGCCAGCGGGAGGGTAGGCCCAGGCCGCTATAGCGCTCTCGCGGCAGGCCGCCGGCCTCGGGGCCGCGGTGCCTGGCATGCCCTGCCGACATGCTCGTGCCAGCTCGGCGTCGGCGTCGTCGGGCGCCCCCTCGGGGCCTTTCGGTGGCAACTCCTGGGAGCCTCCTAGACCATCTTGTCGGCTCTCGCGGATCGACGCTAATCGACGCTAAGTCGACGCTCATCGACGCTCAACCGACGCTGACCGACGCTAGCCGACGCTAAATCGGCGCTATCCCATCGACTCCAGACGCGAATCGCCGCTAAGAGACGCTAAAGACGGAATTAAGAGGGCACACCAAGCTCCCATGATCTGCCACCGAGGGACCTCGCGCCACATAGACCAAGAAGCGACCAATGCTTGCCTGCCTTTCGGAAGCCTCTGGTGAACAGCGGGCACACTGCAGGAGAGGAAGGCCCGGGGTCACAGACGGGCCCCAGAGGCAGGGGTTGAGTTCACCTGGGGCCCACGCCACGGAGAAGGCCGTCGTCGGGCGCACCGCCTGCGGGCTGGCCGACCGGCTGGCCGACTGGCTGCCGCCTCCGTGCCCTAGCTGACTGGCCCGCCAGCCAGGCACCCCGCCGCCGGGCAGTCCGCTGGCCGCGATTGCCGTTTCTCTCGGTCGTCCTGCTGCTCTTGAGCAGCAGGGAAGGATGCCACACGCACGCCTCCTCATGAGACAGCCTCTGCTGTCAGGGTCAGGGCGGAGATGGCGCTCCTAAGAACGACAGTGGTAGTCAGGCGGAGCAGGAGCAGGAGGAGGGGGGAGAGACTGGAGAGGCGTGTTGTTGAGGAGGATGAGGACATGGGGCAGAGGGGTGGGGGACTAGCATCAGGAGCGGGAGCAGGACCTGGAGACGGAGCGGGAGGCATCGGAGAGGAGGAGCGTTGGGCTTTGTTCTTGTCCTGGCGCGAACTGGGTTCGACGGCTTTGCCAAGGCAAAAGGATCGGATACATGGGCACGGCGATGGGGATTACCCCCACACAAGCCGCCCACCTTTCCGCCACACGCGTGCTCGAACGAGAGGCGCCTGTTGCGCGGAGACCCCTGCGAAACAACAGGCGCTGTTCGGTTTCATCGCTCCGTGCCTGATGCGAACCATTCAAACTCGTGGCATCGGAGAATGATGATGAGGAGGAAAGGGTGATGAGGAACGACATGAACAGTACCAAAGAGGATCAATATCGTGAGGAACTCGAGGATCAGGAGGGCGGAGCGGAGGATGAGGAGATGAAGGAGGAATCTACGACAACAGCGACGAGGACGACTACGATACGCAGGAAGAGGGGAATAGAAGGAGTGGAAGGACTGAAGGAGGGAGGGCAAGTGAAGGAGAGAGCGAGGAGGGTGTGGAGGAGGAAAGGGAGGGAGCGAGAGGTCAGAGGCGCCCCCTCCAAGGCTAGCAACGGTCAGGAAAAAATGCCTCCACAGAGGCCTCCCCGTCGTCGCGAGCAGCTTCAGAGTGAACCCCGCGCGACCCCCAATCGAGAGATTACCTCTTGGAAACGAGCCCGGAGCGACCTCGACGAAACGAACCCCCGGCGCGCCCGCGCCACGGAGCGATCCGCAAGAAGCGTCGAGTGCCCAGCGCGGCTTCGAGGGTGGAGGCCTGTTAAGACGGCGGCACCAGCTGAGAACAGCTGGGCGTGCCAAGGATTCAGCTGGACGAAGGATTGCAAAAAAACGAAGGATTGCAAAAAAAAAAAACAAAAAAAACGAAGGATTGCAAAAAAAAAAAAAAAAAAAAACGAAGGATTGCAAACCTTCGCACCACGGCCACACGTTTTGCAGCGCTGCGCTCTCCACTGCTTCTGGCTCGGCAGTCCGGTCAGAGGTTTCGTGACGCTCGATCTCTGTGCGCTCCCGGCTACGCCGCGAGAGGGGCGACCAAGTCGGTGGCCAGATACGCGGCGGGCGTGTTCTGAGGCCTATGCTGTTTCGTTTGTTGGAGAAGGTCAAGCGTTTCGTGCTAGCGCTTCCTCAATGTCTCGAGGACGTCGTACGATTCTTCGCGCTGCAAGTTTCCAAAGCGTGCGTTGCACATCAGGCACCTCCTGGGTGCGCCTCCGAGAGAACTGCACCGCCTGCTCGTACTCCTTAGGCATCTTGATCTCCTTCCACAAAGCCTGTGGATGCCGTCGGGCGTCAGGAGAGACGGCTCCCGCACAAGAGCCGTGAAGAGCTGCTTGTTGCCAACAACGGGCAACGGGCAACGTAACAACCGGAGGCACCGGGGGCGTGGAACCCGGGGAACCTGGGAAATCTCCTGGGAACGGGCAAAGTACAATCAACCCGTATCATTGCGCGGTAAGGATGCAAAAAGGTCTTGGAGGCATATGTTAACGTTTTTTCGAACACGGTTGGCCAGCGAAAGTCGCTAAGGGTGGACCGAAGGGGCAAGGATACACGGGTACCCTTGGGAAGGTTGTCCATCCTTATTGTGCGGTTTGACTGTAGGGTCCCGAGACACCATGGGCGGGGAACCTGGGGAATCTCTGGGGAAAGGGCAAAGTAGGGTCCAGAGACATCAATATGTGACCGAGTAAGACCCCCTTAGGCAAGCCTACTTGGGGAACTCTCCGAGCCAACCGTTGCAAGCCGATTGCAACGACAATCATCATGCGTTGCCATGTGGCCATCTTCACGCTTGACGCGCGAGTGTTGGGCAACTGCCGTGCTGCCTGCCTTAGCGCATAAGACATACAGGGGAGGAAGGCGTCCTGGGCAGATCTGGCGAGAGGGGCCTCGCGAGAAGGCTTCGGCCAAGCCGTGTGGCACGACTCCTTCCCCCCATTTCCCGAACTGCCCTCCAACTGCTACCTTGTCGCGGGCATGGTCCAAAATACCAATCGGTCGGAAGAATGGGGTACAACCATGAAGTAGGAAGGCGTTGAAAGTAGATTCGGTTTCCGCCCGCCCCCCCAACGCGAAAGGAGGAGGGAGACCCACTCGACCGATGGGGAAGCAAAGAGAGTCTCTACTTCGAGAAGGTGCTCGCGATGCCTCCAGCACGGGAGCAGGCTGCGCAAAGCAGCGCTTAAAGAAATCAGCGGCGGAAGCCTGGGACGGGGATTCTCCGCTGCGGTGTCCTGTCGGATCACCGTGGGCCACAGCTAAGGGCCGCGTACATCGGCGAAGAGGGGCAATACGGATCATGCAAATTCTTATGTCGATGGTGACGAGTGTACGTACCAAAAACGGCATTGGTGATGATGGCAATCTGACGAGGCAGATGTCGTAAGTACGGATGTGAACGGGCTGGTGATGGCGCTGGTGATCGTGAAGGTGAAGGTGATGATGATGATGCTGATGATGAAGATGATGATGACGAAACGATGATGGCGACGATGATGATACTGATGCTGATGCTGATGCTGATGATTGCGATGCTGATTGTGATGACTATGATGGCGATGATAATGATGATGACGATGCTTATGCTGGCCATGGTGATGACGAGGATGTGAGCGGACGGTGATGCCGCAGGTGCGGATGTGACCGGACTGGTGACACGGATGATGCCCATGACGACAACGATGATGGAGATGCTGACGATGACGATGCTGATGCTGCTGCTGGTGATGGTGATGATGATAACGACTCATGTCGTAGGTGCAGATGTGAACGGACTGGTGATGATGGTGGTAATGGTTAAGGTGAAAGCATGGATGATACTGTTGATATGCTTGTGATGATGATGCTGATGCTGACGATGATGCTGCTGATGATGATGACGACGATGCTGATGCTGATTATGATGATGATGCTGATGCTTATGATGATGATTGTGGTGATGATGATGCTAATGATGAAGGTGACGAGACCTGCGGAAATCATGATAACAATGATGCAGATGGGAAGGTGGTGAGACCTGTAGATGGTGGTGATGACGAAATGTTCTGACAGTCAACCATTATGGGATACAAAAAAACAAATTGCCCCATCAGTCCGAGGGGGCTGAACGAGGCCACAGCAGGCCTCAACAGAGCCCCACGATAGCCAGTCGAGCATCCCAGACGTCCCAAGAGGGCTGCAAGACATGCTCCAGGAGAACACAACAGGGCCAACAGGGCCTGAGTGGTCACGCGCGACTTTACGCGGGCAGCTTACGCGTCGAGTGTCCGTGCAATCGGCCTCCTTTACACCCCACCCCTCATCGGACCTTGAAATTCCACCACCCCTCTGGGCGCAGGGGGTACAAGGGATGATCGCTTCCATCCAAGATGGCCCCAGATAGACCAGCATGGAGCAGAGCGGGCGCAAAAGCCTGCGGGCGGCCCCAAAGGGGCTACCTTGCGGGGGCAAGCAGATGCCGATATCGCTACTCCCCGCACGCCTCCAGGGGTGCGTTGCGGCTAGAACTTCGAGGAGAATCTGGCCGTGGCGACGAAGGATCTCCAGGACGAATAGCCGTATCGGTCCCTTTTCCTCCTCCGATGCCTGATTGCGCTTGTGGGCGCGCGTGCGGTTGTGGGCGCCCGCTGCCCCAAAAAAGTGCTGCTCGTTGCAGTTGCGGCGCGGGCGTGCCTCACGCAAGCGAAGCGAGCCTCCAACCTGAGAGCGTGCCTACGATGCCGCCATTTCACACGGGCAAGGCTGCAGAGCAGCGCATCGAACAAAAAAAGACATGCGGCCGGAGCGCAACCCAGGGGAATTTCGTGCAGAAATTCGCGGAACGGGTGGGGGATTTCGGGGGGAACGGAAGGGGGGATGGCAAAGGTTAGGGTAGAGAATCAGCTCGAGTAACTGATTTTCCCAGCGCCTCCCGGCGCCGGGAGGCGCCCTTGTATCGAGGAATGGGCCCTGCGGCGGGGCCGAAACCAGCTGCATGCAGCAGATTTCGTACCCCCCCCTTTCCCTTCTCCCCCCCGTTTCGTTCAGCCCGACGATTGCAAGCACATCGAAAGGGCTGCCCTGCTCTCAGGAGGAGGTGGAGCACGAGGGAGGAGGGGGAGAAGACGCGATCCCCCCCGAACTCCTCGAGGTGTCCTGTTCCTGCCCCGCGCGTCGCCGGCTCCCCGGTCGCGTGCCCCCCGGAGGGCTTGAGCACGCGAGGGGGAAGAGGGGGGCGAGGAGGGACTCCAATCAGATCAGGATTCAGGCCGCCCGACCTGGCCGTGATGTGCCGGCGCCCCTGCGGTCGAAGAAGGGCAGGAGGAGCACAGCGAGGGGGACGGAGGGCGGGGAGGGAGGGGGGCTGGCGGAGGGAGGGGGGCTCTCGGTTCGAGCAGTCCCACGGTGGCCGAGACGAAGCTAGGAGCGACGACGCTGCTCAGCCTTGCTGAGCAGCTTAGGCTGACGGAGGGAGGAGGGGGGGAGGAAGGGAGGAGCATTTATGATGATGATGATGATGAGGAGGAGGAGGAGGAGGAGGAGGAAGAGGAGGAGGAGGAGAAGGAGGAGGAGGAGGAAGGGAAGAGGAGGAAGGGAGGAGGAGGAGGAGGAGGACCAGGAGGAGGCGCTCATGGGGCTATGGGGCGTTCTGGGAGCTTTTGAGGCGCTCCAGGGCGCTCCAAGGGGGCTCTTGGGGAGGAGGACGACGAGGCGTGTATAACATCGCGGGTTGGGCTCGGCTACGCAGCAGGACACCCCTCCCTGGCGCGCGGAGTGCGCCAGGGGCGACGCCGGAGGCGCCGCCGGGGGGGCCCAGGCGCGGATCCAAGAAATCCGCGCGGAGCGCCAAACATTAATGTTTGTGCTGTTTCTTCTTACGAGATTCTCCAGGACTCTCTGAGCCCATCCTGTCGTTTTCCGAACGAGATCCGCTCTGCGATGTGGGCGCCATGAGACGAGGCGTGTATAGCATCTCGGGTTGGGCTCGGCTGCGCAGCAGATTTGCCTTCACTCTCGCGAAGGCGGTATTCGGCCGGAGGGGCGAAACGTGCTACGGGCTCCCAACGAGCGGCAGTGGAGTCCACCCACGCAGGCCGGCTCGAAGGTTGTAGGCCTGGCCAGCCCATCTGAGCTGTGTCGGGCATGTCCCCCCAGAGGCAGATTTTGGAAGACAGATTCGAAACAATCCAAAACCGTCCACGAGCAGTCGACCATAGTCACGCAAAAATCGTCCCAGACTATGTTGTTGACTATGTTTGAAGTTTCCTCCTGCAGAGGGACGTGCCCGATTCAATATACTTGGCCAGAGGGGCGAAACGTGCTGCAAGTTCCCCACCTCGCCGCAGTGGAGTCCACCCACGCAGGCCGGCTCGAGGGTTGCAGGAATTGCCCCGCCCGCTGGAGCTGCGGTGAGGTGGCTGAAGGGCCTCGGGCCTCGAGCGGCTTGCGCAGGCCACTGGCAAAACAGGGGAGGGTGCGCTCGAGGTCCTGCACGCTGGTCGAAGAAGAAGAAGAAGAAGAAGAACATGAAGTGCAGGCCTCGGCAACAACAAGCGAACACACGTGCCACATTCATCGGTCAACGCCTCCCCCTCCCCACACCCCAATGTTCCAAGTTGGCGGTGGGTCTGATGAGCTGCACTTCGACCGCAGTCTCCCCCGCGCGTGCCAACTTTGAGTATGGGGGAGCGGGGGAGTGTCCACTGATTCTTTCCCCCTACCCTAGGACGGCGGATAAAGCATATTTGGGCCCAGGCCCTTCCAAAAACCGCAGCAGAAGCACATCTGCTCCTGGAATGGGAAGGCGCTGGAAGGGGTTGGGGACCTGGGCATCCAAAAAACCACCCCCTCTTTCCAAGACCAGCGTGCAGTCCTGCCGCACCCTGCCCAGGGAGGGAGGGCGCGGGATCAGGAGCAGGAGCAAGACCTGCGCTGCCGTGCGCGGCCCCGCGGGTGCTGCCCCGCGCCACCGTGAGAGGCCGTGCTGCCCGGTCCACGCGCGCACGACCGCCCGAGCCGGGAGGAGGCCATGCCTCGCGAGGGGCCGCCCGAGCCGGGAGGCCATGCCTCGCAGAAGCGCCCGCCGCGGGGGCGGCCACGCGCGGGCGCCGGGCTGGCCTCGCTGCGTGGGAACGATCGGGCGGACCAGGTCAGGGGGGACACGTCGGCCTGGAGCCCGCGCTGCATCGCCGATGCGTCGCCGCTGCGCGCCAGAAAGCGGGGCCGCACGCTGGTGAGCTGTCGTGCCCCCATCGCCGACGAAGGGGCGACTGGGGGTCGACGCGACCCCCCCCCCCTGCGCACACCGCCCCTCGCCAGCCTTGCCTTAGGTCGGGCCCGTCCCCCTACAGAGGGATTTTGCGCGAAAAATGACAAATACCCCAAAAATGCCCCCGTCAAAAACAGTCAAAACATCGTCCCCAGACTATTCTCCTGCAAATGGACAGGCCCGACTTCAGCCTTTCCCCCGAAGCACGCGCCCAGCGCCTGTCAGCGTCAGCCCCTGCGCGTGAGGTGCGCGCCCGCCATGACGAGGGTCGGCCTTCGCGCCGGGGCCTCTTCGCTCAGCTTGTGCTGGCCCCGGCGCTTCGCCACCTGCGGGGGCCGACGAGGTTCAGCGAGGGCGGGTGGGGTCCTGGGATCGCGGCGCAGCGCCGACGAACATAGCTGCCCCGATGCGCAGCACGCAGCCCGTGGCGTGCTGACACGGAGCTCCACGCGGAGACTCGACACGAAGTCTGGCGCCATTCACCCGGCACGACGCAGGCCGACCAGCGGTCTGTTCAGCACGCAGCGTGCTTGGCATGAAGGTGTTGGCATGGTACGGGTTGCGCTTCAACACGGGCGCATCAGGGCAGCCACGCCGACAAATCAGCAACGCATCGGCGACGTCGGGGTGGAGAAAGATCTCGCTCCACATCGCGGACTGGGTCGACGATGTGCTGGCGATGCGGGCGGATCCACCGTCACCCCCACCTACAGTAGACACATACGATAAAACAGATTGCCAAGTACTGGCGCACATGCTGCGTCGACCTTTGTGGGTTATGTAGGTGCCTCAGGGCGTCAGTGGGCCCCTGGGGCCATCGGGGGATAAGACATGCCTGTGGGGCACCTGCAGGCAGGTCAATCTCGATTGTTAGATCTGCCTACTGCACTCCAGCTCCATTTGGGCGGCTTGGGGCCTGGCCCGCCAGCAGCAGGTCCTTGAACAGGTCCTCTGGGATGTCCGTGGTGCGGTCGATCGACACCACGCGCCCCACCGACTCCGACTTGGAAACGGGCGTCCCGCTGCCCTGTCGGAGCGCTCTCAACTTGCTCCCGGCGGCCCTCGTTCTCACTACTTCTGCCCCGGGCGCGGGGTTCGCGACCTCTCCCTTGCACGAGGACGTGAACAATGAGAAGTGCGGCATGGGGGCGCTGCTCGGCTGCTGCGTGGCCTGGGCCACCAGCGGCGAGCTGACGTCTGACGACTTGAGAAAAAATGGCCTGGCTCAGAGTGATGGCCGAAGAGGCGGGCGGAGGAGGGCGAGGCGAGAGGAGGACGAGGGCCGGAGAAATATGTCCCGCCACCGCTGGCGCTGCGGAAGCTGGAAGACCGTGGCTCGTTGTTTCGGAACCCGAAGCGGTCATCAACTCTGGGACCCCAGGGGGCCCCTTAGAATGAACCGTGGGTACAGCCCGGCGACCCCCGCGCCCTCCTCCCGCTGGAGAGCTACGGGTGGGCTCCAACGACGCCCAGCCGCAGCGGCGGCAGACAAGCCAAGGTAATCTCCTCAGACGTTTCCACGTTCTGGCTTGAGCGTGCAAGGGTATTCGCACTTTCTTTCCATGGCTGCATTGCCCCATCGGGCCATACATTCAAACTGAACCGTCGCACTCCAGGCAGGGTATCGTGCCTGGACTGGTGCAGGACATGGTGCCAGTGGGGTTTCTGGGAATCTCTCCAGCAATCCAAAATGCTGTTCCATAGTTGCCCTGTTCTCGACTGGCACACCATGGTCGTACATCAGGGTCTCAGGTCCCACCAATGAGGTTAAGGCGCCCCAAAGCCGCATCGCTTCAAATATGCCTCCACCTTCCCGTCCTCGCTCGCCCTCCCCCGCTGCTTGCTGGGGAGCCAGCGGGCCCGCCCAGGATGGCCCTCTCAAAATGCCGGCCAACGCGATCGAGATATTGTGGCGCCACGTGGGTGGGATCTCGCTGGAAGACGGCCAAGGTGCCCCAATATTGCCAGAAAGGGTGACCCAAAAGAGGGTGGTGCAGCTTTGAAAGGGTGGGGTGCACTAGATTCGGGGCAATTGTATTGCAAATGCATTGCGCCGGAGAATTGTATTGCACGGTATTGCAAGTCCAAGTGGCGTATTGGACGCGAAATTCCAGCAATATACTTGCGCCCCAGAATGCGTCGCACGCCCCAGATGTACTGCACCCCAACAAATCTGTTGCACCAAATATATTGCACCACCCCCTTGTCTTAGGTCGGGCGTGTCCCCCAACAGGCGGATTTCGGGCCGAAAATTGAAAACACTCCAAACATATCCCCAACAATGTTCAAAAGTGCCCCCAGACTATTGGTTTGACTATTTCCCTACCTCGGCTCTGCCTAAAAAGGTTCTTACTCTCTTGGCTTAAAGGGCCGGGCAATGGGAACCGGCCCGGGCGATTCCCCAAGTATCCGCCCCGCGGTTCCCCCAGTTACGTCCCCTTAGCTTAGCGTTGCTTATCCCATCTTAGCTTAGCCTAGCTTAACTTCGCTTGCTTTGCTTAGCTTCGCTTAACTTAGCTTAGCCTAGCCTCGCTTAGCTTAGCTTAATTTAGCTTTGCTTAGCTTCGCGTAGCTTAGCTTGGATTCGCTTAGCTTAGCTTGGCTTAGCTTATATTAGCCTCGCTTAGCCTAGCTTACCCTAGCTTGGCTTGGCCTAGCTTAGCTTAGCTTAGCCTAGCATACCTTAGATTACCTTAGCTTAGCGCGACATAGCGCAGCGCGGCATTAACACAGCACAGCATAGCCAAGTATCGCATAGCATCGCATCGCATAGCATAGCTCAGCCTAGCATAGCATAGCATAACATAACATGGCATATCCTAGCATCGCACTGCTTAGCATAGCACAGCGCCGCACATCACGACATAACCCATCATATCATATCACACATGCCATGCCGTATCATAGCATAGCGCAGCATATCATACCATTGCATAGCATATCATCGCACAGCATATAATATCATAGCGTAGCCCAGCACAACATATCGCTGCATAGCATAGCAAATCGTACCAAAGCATAACATAGCGCAGCATAACAGAGCATAGTATAGCGCACCAAAACATCGCATAGCATAGCCTAGCATAACACAGCGCAGCCGGGCGTACCCTAGCATAGCATATCATCGCGCAGCATAGCATAACATATCATGGCGCCGCATAGCATAGCATAGCATAGCAGCAAAGCGTAAGCAAAGCAACAACAGCAACAGCAACGCAAAACACAAGCAACGCAAAGCCGGACCTGCAGTGCTGAACAGCCTGCAGCTCTTCCAAGCAGTGCTGAACAGCCTGCAGCACCTGCAGGAGCCGCGAGCACCGCTGAACAGCCTGCTGTCGCCGGGTGCACAGCAAAGCAAGACAACGCAAAGCGCAGCATAGCATAGCATAGCATAGCATAGCGCAGCATAGCACTGCGCAGCATAGCATAGCATAGCATAGCATAGCTTAGCTCAGCTTGGCTGTCAGAGCTGCAGAACGAATGAAGTGTTTGCTTGCGTTCGGCATCACAGCGACTTCGGTGACCGCCTCTTGCAAACCGGCTGCGAGCACATCCCTGATCAAATGCGGCGGCCGACTGTTAACTTGCAGCGTTTTTGCTACAAGATCTGCGAGTTGCGGAAGGTGAACCTGTCACGGCGATAGGTGTACTACTGGTTATTCGACACAGTCCCTGCGCGCCAATGAGTGGCTCCGGCGACTCCGCGACAGCGGGGAGGTTGTGGTCACACCACTCTAGTGAAACCGAATATTCCAGCGCCGATGATGCACCAATCTGGGAGTTGCTGCTGCTGTACAATTTCGTAGGAACGTTCGGTGTAGCAAATGTTACACAACCTTGCTCAATGCCAAGTCGTGCGGTGCAGACCGGATACGGAGCATTCTCAAGCACACCTGGTGACAAGGCAATCCAAAGCAAAAGCAAAACCAATGCGAAAGTGTAGATGTAGATGTAGATGTAGGTGTAGATGTGGATGTAGGTGTATATGTAGATGTAGATGTAGGTGTAGATGTAGGTGTAGATGTAGATGCAGGTGGAAATATTAGTGTAGCTGTCGGTGTACATGTAGATGTTGCTTTCCTAGATGCTCCAATTCCTAGGTAGGGTCGCGCTGGGATAATTGAGAACATTCCTCCTGTAGAGGGACAGGCCCGACTTAACCCTTGTCGCCGGGCCTCCCTTTTGGGGCCAACCCGAGCCTCCTCCCGTCCGGCGCTGCTCGGGTGCCCAGAGCGGCACTCGAGCCTCTGGAGAGAGCCTCGGGCTGTGCAAAGCTGCTGGCGGCTGCCGGGCCGTCGCGCCGCCTCGCGTCACGCGGAGTGTAGGTGGAATCCGTGGTGCCCTGCACGGAGCTCGGAACGAGGCACGGAGACCGGATTTTTACGACCACGGCGGGCATCGGCCACGCATGTGCTCCCCGACCTCAAACTTGAGTCGGGCGTGTCCCCCTACAGGGGGATTGTGGCCGAAGACTAACAGCAGATACAGGAAAAAGAAAAGAGGGCTCCAAAATGGTGAGACGTGGTCAAAAAAATCGTCCCCAGGCTGTTGGCTAGACTACTTTCTGGAGGTTCCTCCTGTAGAGGGAGAGGCCCGACTTGACCCTTGAACCTGGGGAACGGCCCGAACACCAGGCCCGAGAGCGAACGTTTTCTTTCTTTTTTTTGGAAGAAGAAGAAGAAGACGAAGAAGAAGAGAACGCAGCCACCTGACAATCCAACCACCCAGCGTTAGAGTGAAGCGCGCAGAGCTCGAATCAGGCAATGTGATACAATTGCTCCACGGGCGCACGCCTTTACACGTGCATCGACCCCGTCGCGCAGAGCCCCTTGTTTCAAGCTAAAGCCGTGCGCGGGGACGGGATGCAACCGAGAGCGAACGTTTTCTTACTCGGCGTCTCGACACTGGGCGGAAGGGGGGTGGGGGAGGGGGCGGGGTCTGGCTCTCGGGACCTCTGCCGAAGGCGACTGTGCGCAACAGCGCGTCCTCTGGGGGAGGCCCCGCCTGCTCGAAGCAGGCGCCGAGCACAGCCGAGATCTGCTCCATTGGGGGGCAGGGAGGGAGGGAGAGGAGGAGGAGGAGGAGGAGGAGGAGGAGGAGGAGGAGGAGGAGGAGGAGGAGGAGGAGGGGAAGGGGGGGGAGGAGGACAAGCTGGGTGCGCTCGCGTCGTATCTGACCTCCTGCCCCTCCCTCCCGTCCCTTACCATGGCGCAGGTCCCCTCTCGACTCGCACGGTCGGAGGTCGAGCAGGGCAGTGATCCCGAAAGGGTGCGCGATGCATTGGAAAGCACGGCGTGGCATGGCGTAGAAGAGCACCGCAAAGCGTAGTATCAACCTGGCATTGCATTGCATGCCGTGGCATGGCACGGGAAATGACGCCAGCGCTGCAGCGGGAGCACGAGTCGGAACGAGCGGAAGCGCGGAAATGAGGCCAGCGCTGCAGCGGGAGCACGATTCGGAACGAGCGGAAGCACAGAAATGAGGCCAGCGCTGCAGCGGGAGCACGATTCGGAACGAGCAGGGCCCGAAAATGAGGCCGGCGCCTCAACGAGAGCAGCATTTTGGAAACAATGCAAGCGAAAACCCAACTCCGGGGAATCCTGTGTGTAAAAAACAATACGCGGGGGGGGCTAATATTTTCAAACCGTCATCAGGGGAAGAGGGAGAATAGTATTCATATTGAGTAATTGTCGAGAGCCCGCGCCGATCGGCAAAACAGGGAATAAGACAACGATTTCAAGGTGGTGCTTGTTGCAGCGTCGGACCTGCTCCGCCCCCTTGTGGTCCTCGAGGGCGGTGCCACGCTTCGAGGCCGTGCGAAGGCATCCCGAGGCGAGGGGAGACCGGCTCGGCGAATGTTTTTTTGTTCTGGGGGGGGGGGGGGGGGGCTTTAGGTGGAGGCCAGGCCACAAGAGACCTTCCACAAGAAACAAAACCCTGAGACCCCAGGACGTCCACTGATTTTGTGTGTGGGAACGTCACGCTTTCCATGGCAGATGCATAGAGATCCAAGACACTCAGGGCACCCCGAGGGCAAGCAGAGTGCTTCTTGGCATGGGTCTCCACTGTACGGGGCCGAGGTGCTAAGCCGAGGCTCCCCCCAGGTCAGAAACGCTGCGCTCGGGGCTCGCCATCCCAGGGTTAGGTCGGGCAGTCCTCCTACAGGCGGATGTTGGAGAAAACATGAAACAGAAATCCACAGATGCTCAAAGGTAGTCAAAAGTAGCCAGCACATCATGCCCAGACTATTTGTCGGACTATGTTTGACTATTCCTCCTGTAGAGGGACAGGCCAGACTTAGTTCTAGGGCAGGCCTGAGGGGGCTGATGGGCGCGCAGAGCGGCAACGCCACTGGGCGAAAAGAGACTGCTCCGCTCGACACGCCGCGCGGCGGCGCACGAGGGGGCGAAACAGACTTACTACTCTGCTCTACTCGTCACGGGGCAACGCCGAGGAGGTCAAAAATACGAATCCACTCCTAGTCGCCACGTGGCAACGCCTTGGAAGCGAAAAACGATTCCACTCTGCGCCGGGCGTGGCAACGCCGCAGGGAGGAACAGATAGCATTGCACTCGACCCTCCGCGTGGCAACGTCTCGGGGGGGGGGTGGGGGCGACAAAATTGCTCCACGCGATGCCCTGATTTTGAAATCTTCCGCGCGGATCGGCCGCACTGACACACTCAGAGTTTTCAAGTCTAGGGCAGGCCTGCACGGGCTGATGGGCGCGCGGAGCGGCCACGCCACGGGGCGAAGAGAGAATGCTCCGCTCGACGCGCCACGCGTTGACGCACGGGGGGCGACACAGAATTACTACAGAATTGCTGCTCTACTCTACTCGTCACGTGGCAACGCCGAGGAGGGGACAGACATACAAATCCACTCCTGCTCGCCTCGGGGGAAGCGGCGGGCGGGGGGCGAAAAACAAAGCCCTCCCCTCCACTCCTGCCCGCCACGTGGCGAGACGCCGCGGAAGCGGACCACGGATCCCACTCTCTGTACGCCGGGCGTGGCAGCTGCCGCGGGGAGGGACAAGATGGCCTTCCGCTCGACTCACCACGCGGCAGCGCCTCGGGCGCGAGCAGAAGTGCCCCGACGTGGGATGCCTTCCGCGCGGCAGCGGCCGCGCCGACGCGCGCGCCCGGAGTTCTCCCAGCATGCCGAGGGGCGGCGGGTCCGCACACCGGGCCGAGGGGCGCGCGGAGCGGCAGCGCCACGCGGGCGAAGAGGAAGAAGAAGAAGAAGAGGCCGCTCCGCGCGGCGCGCCGCCGGAGGTCGGAGGGGGCAGGAGCGCGGTGCAACCCGTAGGAGCTGCGGCTCCTCCTCCTCCTCCTCCTCCTCCTCCTCCTCCTCGTCTCCTCCTCCTCCTCCTCCTCCTCCTCCTCCTCCTCCTCCTCCTCCTCCTTCTCTCCTCGTCCTCATCCGCCGTCCCCTCCTCGTCCTCGCCTCTCCGAGCCCTCACGCCACCTCTGGATGAGCGTAGCTGCCCCGATGCGCAACCCGTAGCCGCGTTGTCACGGAGCTCAGCACGCAGATCGAAAGCGCACGTTCGGCGCGATGCGTTCGCCAAAACGTGGGCCAGCACGTGCGTGTTGACAAGGACGTTTTGAACACGGTGCGCGTTGCGCTACAAAACAAACGTATCAGAGCAGCTACGCCTATGAGTCCAATTTCCTGAGCGAGAGCAGGCAACAAAACATGGGTTCCGAGGGCGTCTGGGCCCAGCAAGCTCAGTATTCGAGGCTACAGCAAGGGCAGCAAAGTACACCGGGCATTTTGTGCACACAATAGGATGGGAGTCGCCCTATCAGCAAAAGCGGTCACGTCATCATCATCATCATCATCATCATCATCATCATCATCATCATCATCATCATCATCATCATCATCATCATCATCAGCATCAGCGTCATCGTCATCGTCATCAACATCATCATCATCATCATCATAATCACCATCGTCACCATTATCATCATCATCGTCATCATCATAATCATCATAATCATCATCATCATCATCATCATCATCATCATTATCATCATCATCAGCAGCCGCATCATCATCATCACCATCAGCAGCATCACCATCATCAGCAGCATCATCAGGATCAACATCAGCATCATCATCAGCATCATCATCAGCTGCATCATCATCAGGATCAACATCAGCATCATAGTCCGCATCAGCTTCAGCATCAGCATCACCATCATCATCAGCAGCAACATCGCAATCATCAGCCGCTGCAGCATCAGCATCAGCATCCTCATCCTCATCCTCATCCTCATCAGTTGCAGCAGCAGCATCGTCATCATCAGCAGCTGCAGCATCAGCATCAGCATCAGCATCAGCATCAACATCATCATCATCATCCTCCTCATCATCATCATCATCATCAACAACATCATCATCAGCGCGGGGAGCTAAACGAAACGACGACTCTACTCTTCTCTACTCTGCTCTCCTCTGTGGTGGCAGGATCCCCCGAAGTCCCGACCCTTTCACTAGAGCCAATTGTTCGTCCTGGGTCGTTTTCTGACGAGCAAAGCCCGAGAACCCCCAAAGAGCGAAACCGCCGAACAACCTCCCTCCAATCGTAATGTCTTTACGACGTCGGAGATCTGGCTCCGCAAGGGGGCCGCGGAGAGGAAATACATATGGGGCGAGCGGCAAAGATAGAGAAGAGAAAAGAACAAGAATTCCCGATTTGACCCATCGGAATTCTGGGTTTCACGTTTCTGCGGAATTCCAGGTTTCGAAGCGACTTACAGGCCTCGAGGCGAGTTCTGGGGCTCGCGATGGAGGCCGATTCCGGGTTTTGACCGAACGGATTCCGAAGTCGGGGCCGACTCCACTCACCCTTCCCATGGGACATCCAAGATGCAACGGAAACAGTGGAGGCCAGTCTACAAAACCTTCCACAATAAACCCAACCCTGAGACCCCAGGACGTCCATGGATTTTTGGTGTGGGGACGTCGCGATTTCCAGTGAAAAACCTTCGAAACCCAAGAAACCAAGGGCACCCTGGAGGCAAGCAGGGTGCTTCTTGGCATGGGCCTCGACTGTATG